AGCTTTCCTAGAAAGCAAGCATGGATCCAGAGCAAGAGAAATAACTGGCTTTAGATAAGGTTGTCTTTCATTGTGGTAGAGAAAATGATGAATTCAGAAGTAATTTATAAGTTGGTTGAAGGAGTTCATGTATGACTTCAGTTTTCTTTGTGAGGTTGGGGGTGAAGTCATGTAAGTAAAATTTGGAACTGGCAGATGGAAATGGGAACTGATTCTGTGGATGCAATGAAGAGTCTTAAGAGGTTGATGACCTACCATGATTGTGTAGTGGGGACTATTTGCACATCTGTGTGATTTTTCTTTGGCAGTGCTTAGCAACTTAGGTGGATTGTTTTAGCCAGATCTGAAGTTTGGCTAACTGGGCACAATCAAGTCTTAAAGGACAGAAGACTGTCTGTCTTACAGGTTGTTGGTCTGGTAAACAAAATTTTACTTATACCTTGTTTGGACAGTTGTTTTGATGTGACTGGTGTGATACAATCCTGGAGCCCTGGATAGGTCTGGATTGCCTCTTTTATCTAGCTGACTCCTTAGCCTCTCTAGAAACCCTGCTTTCACAGTTAATCAAGACTATAGACCTCATTTTCCTCTCTTGCAATTCTGACAGTGTAGCAGTGTTTTTTTGCCTCCATGAGAAACAAAGGACCACCCTCCCGGCTTCCTGATTATACCTCTTGTTTCCCCTATAACCCCTTTCTGGATCAGGCACATTGCTGCTGAGAGATCCAAGCCCAGCCCTGTCCCTTTAGGTGCTCACCATTGTAGGAGAGTGTGAGGCTCTCCAGAGACACCCAGGAGCTCAGCAGGTGGCACAGTGTTAGAGCTGCCTCTGTGGAGAGAGGAACTGTGAACAGCTCCAAGGTGGAAATGCTACGGAATCGTTGGGAGGCCTCCAGTGCTGGAAGCCCCAAACAGCTGGGATCTGATCCATCCAAAGCTCCACAAGCTACTTCCCCAATCTCCATCTCTTCACCATCTTCCTTTTCACCAGCCACAATAAAAACAAAGTCATAGAGGTCTTCAGACTCTGCCCCAGACCCCTGACGGGTGCGGGCACCCTTTCTCCCTGCAGCTCTTTTGAAACGCTTTAAGGGCTTAGGCTGTGAGGCTGAGCTAGCTGGAGCCCGTTTGGATGAGGATGTGGAAGAGGAGGCAGAGGAGGTGGCAGCTGGAGCAGAGAGTGACTGCTTGGTACCAGAAGCCTCATAAGAGGTGGCTGGAGGGTGCAGCTCCCTCTGGGGGTCTGTTCCGCCTGGTGCCAGGCTCTCCTGTGTGCTGCGGCGTGTTACACGAGTGGCAGGTGCAGCTCTAGGCACCTGCTTGACTTCATTCTTCCGCCGAGTGGCCATCAGCGCTGCAGCACATCTCTCTGCTGCATCCCTCCGAGGCCGGCGTGAGCCAAGCAATAGCGAGCCTTCATCGCGGGCTGGAGCCCGGCCTCGGGAGGCCTCTCCACAGAGGCGGCAAGGCAGGTTACCAGGGCCTGGCTGCCAAAAGCCAGCACTCATGGTGAGGATAAGGATGAAAAGGGCTGACTCAGGCACAGGCCAGGAGTACAGCGACACTTGGCTAACAGCCCCATGGTGAATGAGCTGATGCAATAGCTGTCGAAGTGACTGCTGAGCTGCCACATCAGAGAACAGCAGGTGGCGGAACTTGAGGGTGTGCAGAGAACTGGCCAGGGTCTCCAAAACCCTGCGGTTGGGCTCAGCCACCAGCTCAGTTGCTCCCTGCAACATGTTGCAGATGGTGAGCTGCCGGACATGACGGGAGCTGTGCAAGAGAGGTGAGAAACGCTGGTCACAAAGACGGCTGTCAGAAGACACATCGATGGTCCCACGCAGAACATGGGAAAAAAAGGCCTCCATAAATTTGGCTCTCCAACAGGTCACACTCTGAAAGCAGAGAACATGCCAGATATTAAAGTGCTATCCCAATTTTCTTCAACTAGAACATTTTTCTGAGTACTCACTGAATCAGGCACCAGTGTAATTTATACAAATTCACTTAGTGCTCACATCTTTGAGGTATGTATTACCAGCAGCCCCATTTTACAGACAAGAAAACCAAGGCACAAAAGCAGATGAAGGGGCATTTTACATCATCGTAGCCTTTGTTTCTGTAGGGTGAATGTATAGTGCTTATTTGATGGTGCACGCACAAGTGTGTATGGGCACTCGTGTGCATATGTGAAGGCCAGAGGACAACCTCAGGTGTTCTGTCCACGTTTTTTAAATTAAAAAAAATTTTTTTTTGGTCTTTTTGAGACAAGGTCTCCCTGTAGCCCCAGATGACCTAGAACTTGCTAGGTAGACCAGGCTGGCCTTGAGCTCACAGAGATCCACCTGCCTCTACCTCCTAAGTGCTGGGATTAAAGGCATGCGCCACTACACCCGGCTCTTTTTTATCTATTATTTTTATTTTATGTGTATGAGTGTATTGCCCGTATGAATGTGGATGCATGCATGTAATGCAATGCCACAGAGGTCGGAGAGGGCTTCAGATTCCCCTGGAACTGGAGTTAAGGATGGTTCATAGCCACCATGTGGGTGCTGGGACTCGAACCTGGGTCCTCTCCAAGAGCAGTCAGTACTCTTAACCACTGAGCCATTTCTCTAGCCCCAGCAAAATACATTTGTAAGTAAAATTAACACAAGGCCTTTCAGGATTGGAATCCAGCTCTGCCACAGACTCCTCCATGAAAATCCCGAACAAGCCCTTCATTTCTTCTGCCTTGATTTCCCCACGTGTGAAGCAGAGCTGATTTCGGAGGACCTTCTCCACTCTCTTCTTCATCTGAAGCTGTGTAATGTTTATTTTCAGTCTTTCTTATTTTCTAAAGCAAATATTTAGACACCCCAAATTATGTGTTTATTTACTGAATATTTTGAACACAGAACAATTTTCCATTCTTGGTGTATGTACTGTCACCTCATTTAGGGCAGTAACTAGACTTTTTCCATGTAAGAACTAAAGGGAAGCCCAGGCTGTATTCTCCCAAAACTTAAATCGTAAGATTGTTTTGGCTATACAACTCAGTTTTCTAGGTCAAATATATATGACTTCTTATAAATGGTATTTTACCTAAGGCATCATACAAGTTCAAACAAATAAAAAGTAACAAAATGAAACACTTAAAGACACTGAGAAACTGAAGTGTAAATCTGACTACATTTGTTGGAACCCCAGTTTGGGGTACCCAACGTCCATAGGAGGCCGCTCCCCAATAACTCAGTCCTCAGACCAGAAGATGCAACAAGCATGAGGATTTATTACATTTTGCAAAACGGACCCCTGCCTCACTCGGAGGGCAGAAGCCCAGAGCCCAGTTCACAGGCTTCTTTTAAAGACAAAGACCACAAACTAGAGAGAAAGTGGCAGTAACGTCACAAGCGGTGGCTATGTGCCAAGCAGAGGTAGGGGGGGGATTTCTGGGATGATTTCCAGCTTTGGGCAAGGAGCATGAAAATGGTCAGCTCAGCTTGTTCTTATCATTCAGAACTATTTTTTATTTTTATTTCTTCATACAGTTTTTTGGCCTGGAGGACTTATTTTCTTGTCTTTAGCCTAGGGGGACTGAATTAGGGTCCTTCAATGTGACATCACAATATTCCAATGTGCCACCACAATGCTCCAAAATGTCATTACAATGCTCAATGTGCCAACAAAATGCTCCAATATGTCATATCAATGCTACAATGTGATGCCTGATTAATTGTAGCAGTCTGTTGAGGATGCATAGTCCAAAAGTTAAAAGAAGGAGAAGAATTACTAGGGGACCTATTAGGGTGGATACTAAGGTAGTTAACCAGGGGCTTTTATTAAACCAGTCTTTAAACCATCCCTGTTTGGATTCACGTTATTTTGTCTTCTATCTAATCTCTGGCAGAGTTTAGTCATAGGATCTCTAATAACCCCTGAGCTGTCAGCATAGAAACAACATTTTTTTAGGGTTGCACAGAGTCTTTTTTCTTGAGGAAAAGCAGATCTAGCCCCCTTATATTCTGTAATATTACTTCTGAGAGGGAGGTGCTGTGAGGTTAAAGCTGGCAAGGGATAAATCTATTGAGACAGAGCAATTCTATTAACAGAACACCATAGTAACATCACAATTCTATAGTAAGCCACAAATCAATTATAAGGTTACACCTGTATGATTACAAAGTAATCCAAAAAGTTTTTTTTTTTAGGCAGTTCTATGAGAAATGAGGGAGTCTCTTAAGCGGTAAGTGCCCGAGTGAGAAGAACATGTTTTTGTGAGGCTTTCAAGAATGGCCATCTGGTTAATCTCAAACCAGATCAGCCTTGATGTCTGAAGAAAAGCTTTGCCAGGAATCAGGTCTTGCTATTATCTCGGGTAGGGGCCTACGGCTCTCCACAGATCTCTGTTTCTTTTATATTTTAATAAAGAGGGAAAATGAGCCAAAACAATCCCTTAGGGAACCATGCCTGCCTTAGGTTGGGAGATCCTCTTCTGATGCTTACCCGTCATGGGCAAAAAAAACAGCTGCTTTGGCTGCCAGCCTGCCTTAGGTCGCTATCAGTGAGATCTCCTCTTACCCGTCTTTGGCTATCCGGTTCAGCTCTCAAGGGGATGACTGAAGCACGTCGCCATGTGGCCTTTCAGGCTCATAGGGCTCTTCTCAATCTTTAAGTGCAAGCCTGAGATAATGTATTTGAATTGGCTTTGCTGTAAGATCATCAATCTGACTTTTTATGAAGCTGGTAACTTTTACCCCAACCTGTGTTCTGTGTTGAGGTTAGGCAGAGCCTAAGTCCCCCTCCAAGCAAACAAAAGGACCCTAAGGGGACAAACAGTGTACAGCACAGAAGGGCACAGCATCACAGGCAAAGTCAAGAGAGGAGAACGGTGGGTGCCAGGCGGTGGAAACAGTCCATAGGAAACACGAACAGAGTCCAAAAACCCATTCCAAAAAAACTGGGAACACAGGATACGAATGATGGATGGTGCAGTGATAACACAGGTGGCATAGAGTCTGGAGATGTTGCAAAGTGGACGAGGCATTTAGGTACCCAGCATGCATTGTCAGCATTCTGCGGAAAAAACAAACATGCCCTCTCCCCCAAATGAGGATCAGGGAGGACGTACCTAAAGGTAAAAACAAAAACAAAGAGGGCAAGAGGGAACATATGGTAAAAAAAAAAATACGTATGTACCAAGCAGGTGTCCAAGGTAACATACAAGAAACAAAACGACAAGAGAGGGAGGACATACACCTAAGTTTTAACCATGGAGACACAAACATACCATTTAAAGTGAGACAAACAAGGCAAAAATAATTTATAACTGATATCAGTAACCTAATTTTGTAAGTTTTGTAGTGTGTTGTTTTATTTCTGACATCTATTGTAAACTCATGGAACCTGGAAAAGAGCAAAATAGAGTTGTAGCTCCTGTCACGAACTACCTGCTGCTCTAAGACTCATCACAAGCTGCCCCTGCCACAAGCCACCAGTTTAGAGTACTCCTCACAAGCTATTTCTGCCACAAAGCACTGTGCTGTTGAGAAAGACCACAGAAAGACAAGTTTTAAAACTGCCA